TTTGAAAATAACTAGAATGGCTTCATTCAATACATTCATCATGGCCTTCTTCATGGCTCTCACATTTTCAAGCCTGGAAATAAGCCTTGCAGCTCGTCATCTCCTGCAGCAGTTGCCACAACCACAACTGCCTCCATTACCTACTCTGCCAACAGGGCTTCCACCATTGCCATCTATTCCAACTCTTCCACAGCCCACAATTCCGACCATCCCCACAAACCAACCATCTCTGCCTCAGCCAACCATTCCTACAATCCCAACTAACCAGCCATCTTTGCCTCAGCCTTCCCTTCCCAAGCCTGGTGCTCTGCCTCCACTTCCCAGCATCCCCTCATCCCTGCCTACCCTTCCAAAAGTCACTCTGCCACCGCTGCCCTCCATCCCTTCTATCCCTTTCCTCTCCCCACCACCAGCTAATTAAAAACCAGTCTTGAAATTGTTGTCTTCTGTCCCTTTTTATGTACACATTGTCTGGAGATACTAGTTTTGATGTGCATTACCTGTTTCCATGGCACACCATTGCTTTTATGATTAGCAATATGGAGTTGATTAGTTTGTGGATGCCGATTCTACTTTTATAGATGTATTTGTTCCTTCTTTACTACATGTTTGTTTATGGAAATTGAAGAGTGTGTGGTTCGGTGTAATATTTGAGACATACATGGGGCTATATATGTTATTGTTATAATTGTTATGTTCAGAAATTCTCTTTGCACCTTCTTTGTTCTCTTTGCTTTTATACCTATTTAATTTGCATATAAGTAAAAGAAACTGCAGACAAGCACAGGAAACAGATTATTAGTTAAGCTCATTCATGAAAGTAATACTCTTTTGGAGAAAAATAAGATGAAAACAATAAAGCAAGAAGTGAAAACGGGAATTTACATACATTAATGGGCGAAGGAGAGACTTAATTCATGGATCATGAAGATTACAAAAGACTTCAAACCAATAACTCAACCCTACTCCAATAGGAACCCCAATTACACCTGAATATTGCAAAGATCTACAAATCCCACAAAGAGAAGTGTCTTTTCGATTATAGAAGGTTGAGCTCAGAACTCCTTACCTAAGTGTCTAAATACACATTTATACTTAAACACACACACACATTCATGCTTAGGTCAAATTGGGCCTCTCTAGACATGGTAACTAGGTTGATTGGGGTTAGCCCATCTTAGGTCACAGGTAATATAAGTTAGGTTAAACAAGTTTGTAGATTAGAAAAGACAATTCAAATCCTCTTATTTTAAAATTTTATGAGTTATAATTCTTCTCATGCAAGTTATTAATTAAAATAAATATGATTAAATAGGATCACGAATTAAGAGTCTTGATTCATGACTTATTTTAATTCGAAGTGTTAAATTAGATTAATAATGGCATCAATTTTTTTCATGTCTAAGACTAGGACCTATTACATATGTCATAGTAGCGTCGGACGATATGCTATACATTAAGGAATAATATTCTCTTTTGCAAACCGCTCCAACCCATGAGGTCCAGAATTTGAGCCCTCAGTATAAAAGTGGGAAGGTTAAAAAATAATGGCTTAATATCACTAAAAATCCTCCAACTTAACAAAAGGAGTCATTGTTATCTCTCAACTTTAAAAAATTCATATAAATCCCTCAACTTTAAAAAATTCATATAAATCCCTCAACTTTAAAAAATTCATATAAATCCCTCAACTTTAGAGAAAGAGCCAACCATCATCCCTCCCTTTAAGGAGCTCATAACATCATCCAGCCCACCGTCTAAATTTTAACTGTAAATAACACTTTTGGCTCTTACTTTTAATTTCTATGCACTTTGATCCTCAACTTTAGATTATTTAATTTGGTTCCCATTTTCTTTTTTTCTTATTACAGTTTAGTTGCTAAACATCTGAAATAGCTACACTTAAGGTATGTTTGGTTGTCAATATTGTAGGAAAATATTTGCAGGAAAGCTGGGCAAAATTTTGCAGCTAAATTTGTTAGAATTATATATTTCCCAACACAAAAATCAAGTAATCATAATTGATTATATAGTAAGCATAAGTGGTTACAAGTAGTCATGATTAAGATAGCCAATTATATATTACCTTTAATTAGTTATATAGTCAAGAAAATTTCTTTTAGCGGTTTTT